ATATATACATATATATATATATATATACATACATACATACATACATATACATACATACATACATATATATATAAATATACATACATACATATAAATATACATATATATATATATATATAAATATACATACATACACACACACACATACACACACACACACACACACATATATATATATATATATAGTTTTTTTACTTGCATATTAACTCTACAGTGCTTATAAAATCATTAATGTTACAATGTTATTAAAGTGTTAAAGGTGACATATCATGAAAATCTGACTTTTCCAGGTTTTAAGTGCTACAATCTTAAGCACGTCTGATTTCGCTCCCTTGGTGACTTGGCAAAGGGATCTGATTATAATATTACTGCCCCTTAATCTGTATGTTTCCACCCAAGGAGCCATCATATTGATTTCACAAGTGACAACGGTGTACTAGTTCTAATGCCATGGCGAAAGTTTGAGCAAAGCATGCTAACTGTTCTGTGTTTGGCTGCACAGACGAGCACAGAACACTGTTTAGAGTTCCAGCCTCAGAGGAGACAAGAGAGCAGTGGATTTAATGATTTATTTACTGTATATTGCTCCTGCCAAACAGATCTAAAATAAACATGCGATTTATTTCCCAGCTGTTTACCTTCACAGACAAAACCGACTGTTTTTTTTAACTCGTGTGTTTTTAACGTAAACTTGTGTGTGAATGAGAACTTAGTTTAGGACTCACATGCTGTGACAGCCGCTTTCTGTCTGTGTGCTTCGGATGTGTGCTCTCAGAAAACCGTATATGTTTAAACTCATATGGTTTAAAACACATGATTTCAGCGCGATAAACATGATAATCAGAACCAAAACAGATGTTTTTTAGCAGGTACAAGCTGTAATGGCGCAGCTCTATTCTGGAAAAGGGGGCGGAGAGCAGCAGCTCATTTGCATTTAAAGAGACAGGTACGAAAAACAGCGTGTTTCTGCTTTCACTCAAAATAGGCATTTTCAAAATAATATAATAAATGATATGTTGGGTATTTGGAGCTAAAAAATTCACAGACACATTCTGGGGACACCAGAGACTTATATTACATATTGTAAAAAGGGGCATAATATGTCTCCTTTAATGAAAGTTATAACAATATAGAGCAAGAAATCTAGCTGTGGGAGTCCCTGAATCTGTAAAGACTGATCAATTCAAATGACATTCATATCTTTTAAGAATGGTTCAAGTATCTAAATACTGCACATTTATACCTAAAGTATTAAATCATAATAAACCTGAACTCACACCTGCTGCACAAATTATTAATTAGCTTTGATTGTTTATTTTCCCCAGAGCTTGTCAGCTGACTAATCTATGCTAATGTGTTTCTATACTTGACAGCATGGGATGATACCGCCCCTCTGTAGGGCTTTGAATGTGTGTGTGTGTGTGTGTGTGTGTGTGTGTGTGTGTACATGTTTTGCTACTTTTGTTAACATGAGAGATGAAGTTGCTCATCATACAAGGCTGCCAACAAATCCCTCTCTTTTCACTACAGGCTAACCTAACCCAGGAGCATTTAAACTGCAAACCGGTTACGCTGGGAAGATTTAAGATGTGAACTATTGCATCTGACTGAAAGAGCTGCAGTGAAAGGGCATGGTATCATCAAGCAGTGTGACACTGTGACAGCCCTGGCCCTGCAGAGAGACACTATCACAGAGAAGCACTACAGTCAGTGTGGGGCACATGAGTGTCTATGTCTCCATGTACGAAAATGGCCTTCTTTTGTATCCCACAGTTTACAAACAGTTATATGCAGCTCTGCTTTGAACGTGAAAGCATGATTTGGGTCTGAGAGAGTTGCTGCCATTCACTGTTTTTCCATGCAATTTAATGGACCCCTCCTGCCTTATGACTGACACACTAGAGAGGAAGTGGGAGACTGGAGATGTATTTCAAATGGACTTGTCAGGGAGTCATAAATGAACAGAGATCTTCACTATAAGCACTACAAGGCAATACAATATAAATAATCAAGTTTATGCTTAAAGCAAGAATATACTACTTGTCAATAAATATTATTACTAATAACCTTACATGAAAATAATAAATTATATTTGTATCTGTGAAAATTAAACTTGCTTTCCCTTTTTTGCCCATAGACACCATCACAAACATATGTTATCCTTTTAACAGGCAAAACACACAACACATATATTATAAATATATATAAACTAATTTTATAATAGATTACGTACATATACAACCATTTAAAACTTGGGATCATACTTACTTATATTCAGCAAGGATCCATTAAATAGACAGTAAATATGTTTACAATATTACAAAATATTTCTGTTTAAAATAAATAGTTTTCAACATTGATATTAATAAGAGTGCCACATCTGTAACAGATCAGCCAGGCTCCACCACCACTCAATCACAACGATCCCTCTCACCTGAATTCTGAGCACCTGCACCTGTCACCAATCTAGCACCTCATCAACCAGCCTGCATAAAAGCACACACCTCAGACACCCTCACTGTCCGGTCTCGTATACACGTAGAGGACTCAATGACTTTGCTACTACTTCCATTTGAATACTTCCTGCATTACTTACCTCCTGTGTTCCTCGTCTCCAAGTGTCTCCTGTTCCTCCTAGTTCCCGGATCGCTGAGGTGTGTGTTCCTCCTGTGTGCATTCCAGCTCCTGTAAAGCCAAAGACTCGGATTACTCCACTCGTCATATCCTTTGAACTGGTCTACGAACTATTCACTCACCATCACATCATCTGGACCCTACACCCGTACTCTCTGTGACCAAATAAAACTGTTTTATAAATACTAACCTGTTGCGTCAGACCTCTCCCGTTACAGAAGACCGGACCAACACCGACGGCACAGATGAGTCACCCCGATCCATTCCAGGAGCTCGTAGACTCACTACGACGAGTGCTACGTAAGCCATCGGCACCGTCACCCTCACCGGCACCGCCGCCGCCGCCATCACCACCCATCACCTCCTCCATCCCAACCAGCACTGCTTCGCCTACCATCATCGCTAGTCCCATGGCCCAACCGGTGAGGTCTCTGTTTATACTGTGGAGCTCAAGGGGATATGATCTTGGCATGCCCCCTTCGCCCTCCACGTCCTGTGGTGAGTGTGATTCAGCCTGATATCATTAAGATGGAGCCCCTCACTACCTGTGCAATGCTTACTGCCTCTGATGTTTCTATTTCAGTATCTGCCCTTATCGACTCCGGGTCAGCAGGACATTTGAATACTTCCTGCATTACTTACTTCCTGTGTTCCTCCTAGTGTCTCCTCGTCTCCAAGTGTCTCCTGTTCCTCCTAGTTCCCGGATCGCTGAGGTGTGTGTTCCTCCTGTGTGCATTCCAGCTCCTGTAAAGCCAAAGACTCGGAGTACTCCACTCGTCATATCCTTTGAACTGGTCTACGAACTATTCACTCACCATCACATCATCTGGACCCTACACTTGTACTCTGTGACCAAATAAAACGGTTTTATAAATACTAACCTGTTGCGTCAGACCTCTTCCGTTACAACATCAGCATATTAAAGTGATTTCTGATGGATCATGACACTGAAAAGCTGAAAACTAAGCTTTCTCAACACAGGAATAAATTACATTATAACATATATTTAAAATAGTAACAAATATTAAATTGCAATATTTCACAATAATATTTATTTTCGATCAAATAAAAGCACCTATGGTGAGCATGAGACTAAGCATTAAAACAAAAAAACACTTTTAAACCGTAGTATCTCCATAAACCGTTTTTATTTTATTATTATTGGCAAAGTTCTGTTCAGAAAGTAACATCACAACAAACCATTAATAACTCTCAAAAGATCAGGAAAACCTCATCCTCTTATCTTTTTGAAATGATATGTATATTATACTACTATAAGATGTGCTGTTGTTCTGCAAGGGCATTCAATCAAACCAAACATGCATGAAACATGAGCAATGATTGATTTTGTCATTCACCATTACAAGGCTCCAGTAAAGGCAGATTCTCATGTGTCATTTATCTTGTTTATCTTCTCTCACACACACGCAGCACAGGGAGCTGAACATTGCAGGTACTCAAAGCACTTATCAACTCATCTCATGAACTTATTGCTCCCATTTAGTGTGGTTTTCATGAGATGAGCTTTACACTACACACACAAACACATATGGACGTTTTTCATGCTCGCTGTCTGTCTGGCAAAGAGACTAATGCATTCATTAATCCTTCATAAGTGTTTGCTTATGTGCACACACAGTTACACAACACGTCACTAGTGTCTCTCTCTCTCTTTTACAAACTGCAGCCATCTGTATAGAGATTACCACCAACAATTCACACAGAAAAACTTTTTTCATCTATCCTTCCACTCCACATTCCCATCTGCCACCCCAGGAAGGCCACCTGTGGCCATAGAGAGCATGATAAACAGACAATGCCCTTCACTAACAGCACTCACACACAGATATGCCTTCAAACTCATCACATTCAGATTCATTAGTTCTAAACAGGGTGATTGTGTTGCCTTTTTTAAACTCGTTTAACGATTATGTAACAAGCCAAAATGTCAGGCTGATATGGCATTATGCAAATCCACAGTGGTTTTGGCCTCATACATATTTATAACATCTCCTCTGCTTCAGCTAATCACAGGCTTTGATAAAGGTCAGGGGGAGGGGTCACCAAACATCTGGTGTTTGTGGTGGCCATCCAAAACAAATACCAATATCCACACGCAGCCGAAGTGGTAAAAGGTGGGTGGCCGTGCTGCCGGCTAAAATATATAGATTACACAACAGGTAGCGCTAGACTATTCAGTCGAAACCCTGCAGAAAACGCCTTTGGAGGAGTTCAGAGAAAGCGCTGCCCATTTGATTCTGTCAGCATTAAGGCTGGAGCCTGCTTATTCCCCCATTTCCTGCTCTGCCCTGGTATTGCATTTCACCACCATTACCGGCAAAGGCCGGCCATCTGAGAGATCTGTCGTCCTCTTCCACCATCCATCACTCCGTGGCCCCTGGTCGTACACTCCATCACAAGAAAAACAAACACACACACGCACACACATACGCAGACTAACTGAGCAAACTGCAAAAGGCAAGGCCGGCTGAGGCAAGGCCGAAATATCTGACAAACACAAACAACTTTCTACAACCTGCTTAAAGCTGTCTATCCATGACTGTCTGGTGTATTGTGACAGACAGGTTCATCTCTCCGATTGAGGCCTTATTGAGCGGTTGTTGCTGCAGCAGAGATACATTCGACAGCGTTTAGCCGAGTATCTTGTCGCAAAAGGATTACTGTCCAAGATGCATGGAAAATAAGAAAATATTTACAAAACACCCCAGAAGAGAGTACAGCTTGAAGTGTCACTAAAATATACCACATTAAAGCACATACAGACCAAAGGCAGTCATGTTTGATGTCGCAGAAGTAGTAAGATAAGGTGTTTTCAACATATACTGCTTTGCGCGCACCCAAATATCCTGCTGAGATCAAAGGTACACATGTAATGGACACATCATACACACACAGTGGACTTTGAAGAGGGTTATGCAAGAAACATGTTGGACACTCTTGATTGTCTATGCATGTATCATCAGATGGTGAAAAGAAATGTGCAATAATGTGTTTTAACGCACTCCACACACACTCTTCTAACTCATGTCATGGGGGACCAATAAATGGCAGGCTGCTGACTGCGTACAGGGCCGTATATCACCCTCTCAGTAACCCCAAAATAATTTGATTCAGGTATCCAAGCGCTGCACCTCCGTCTGAGCGCCTGCCTCTCCTTAAAGGTTAATAATTGTTTGGAACTGGACGCCTGAGGGTGTCCAACACTAATGAGGGTGAGAAAAGTTCAAACAGCTCAGGGAAGTTACCAAAAGTTAAGCAAAAGAAAGATAGAAAACATAAATCAGTCCTCATAGAGAGACAAAAGCTGTAGTTTTACATTGTTACAAGTAGAAAGTAACCATTTTCTTTGATAATAACTAATATTACGTGGCACTTACACACAGTGAAATGTCAGAGCACAGGTGCATCCATACTAAAAGTGACCTGAAACTCAACACACTCCTATAATCCTTAATAATTTGTACCAGACAGCAAAATCGTATGTACAACTAGGAACATATGAAAATGTGCAATTTTCATAATTATATTTTAAAGTGTTTTTCTTATTGTTGTTTCATTGTCCATATACACCATAAAAAGCGCATGCATTTTTACCTATTAAAGGGGTCATGAACTGATTTTTTTTTTTTATTATTATTTTGTACTCGGATGTCCACTTATAATGTTATCAAGACATTTTTTACATCAAAAAACATCAATTTAGAACTAACAGGTTATTTTCTGTCCGGTTTTGACCCCCTCGTTGAAACGCTCTGTTCGAATAGGTGTGGTGGATTGTCGAGTCGGAAGTAAACGCCCACTGCTATGATTAGCTAACACTTGTGTATGTTTGACAGCCTACATCCTTCCTTGATGGAAACTACTGTGTTTTAGGTTAAAAATACATAAATACTCAGTACATATCAAACGATCTCTAATAACAGACAAAGCAATAGTGATCACGTAATGAAAACAGTTACTCACACTTGTGTGGTGCGACATCGTATCCAATATAGTCGGACAGCATCGTCTTTTAGTTTCAATCTTTCTGAAAATCCTGTGTTGAAATGTGCCTTGTTTATAAAGTGCCAGACCGCGTCAGTAAGAACTTGATCAGTTGTTCGCTTCATTTTAATGTAGATTTGTTTATTAAAAATACAGTTCATCAAATAAAGTTTATAATTTGGTTTCCACGTAGACCTGCGTTTGCCGCTCTTATCATTTACCTACTATGTGTGCGAATCGGTGGGCGGGGCTAAACAGGCATTGATGTAGAGGCAGGCGCTGATCTTCTGCGGAGGTGCCACCACACTATTACGACATAAAGTGGCACATTCCACAAGCTGTCGTTTTGGCAGAATGGCTTCAATGTAAGCTGTTTTTAGACTAATGAGAAAGTTTTGAGTTCTGAAATTTACAGAATGTTTTTATAGCACAATGACCTCTTATATATCAAATGATCAAGGAAATTTTGATTTCTCAGTTCATGATCCCTTTAAATGCCAGTTTTTTTAGTTTATGTTAGTTGGTTTGTTTTGAAAAATTAATACTTTTATTCTGCAAGGATGTATTAATTTGATCAAAAGTGACAGTAAAGACTAGGGCTGTCAATCGCTTATTTTTTTTTACACAATTACACAATGTAGTGATTAATTAATCGAATTAATCACATATTAATTGCACATCAAATTTGGCTGAGAAATTACCCACAAAAGATAATTTAAAGCCATTATTGTGTTATAAGAGAAAAGCATGAAATAGATATTTCAAAAAGTAGCTTTTAATTTTTGGGGGGGTGAACTACCCCTTTAATTACTTTTTTATTAATATGGATTTTTTATTTTCACATTTTTATTAATATGTCAATATGACATTTTTTTTTATGAATAATGATACTCTAAATAAGAAAGTAAAACTGCCAGTAGGTGGCAGTAAATGTCTTATTGAAGAAGTCATTGAATCATTCATTCAATTCGTTTAACCATGTTTTTTGTGTTGGCAAAACTGAGCAAAACAGACAATGTGTCTAAAACATATAACAAAATATTAAGTTCTTATTTATTGAACTGTTGTATAAAATCAATATAAAATTTGGACTCATGCTATTTGGGACAAAAACAGCACTTGCGTGATATTGCGAGTATGTTAATTGTGGTACAATTTTAATTAGTTATTTTTTTCCATAACTAATTAATTAGATTAACATGTTAAATCGATAGCCCTGGTAAAGACATATACTATACATTAAAGAATTATGGAAAAAGTTATTACAGTTTCCAAAAAATATTAAGTAGCACAACGGTAACTTTTATGATTTTTCCCCCTATTTCAATAATGATTGGGTTTATGGATTAGGTTATGGATGACGATCCATAGTTAGGTATGGTTAACTCATATATCGCCTCACAATTTCACCATTTTGTGCAAATTATGATGAATTCTCAATGGACCATGTTTGACTACGCAAAGCAAAACACAAAGATGTGATGCTCTTACAGAAGAAAACTTCAATCAAAATAAAATTTAGTTAACAATCAGTTCTCATATCGATAAGATATACGGCATGTACATGAGTTATATAAATTAATTATTCAGTTTTAAAGTGATAGTTCACCCCACAGGAAAATTAACTCACCTAAATGTCACTCCATAATATATAAGGAAAGTCACACAAGTTTGAAGAATGTTTTGTGCCCATACACTGATCCTTTGAAAGTCAGTGGGGCAATGTTGTTTTAAACCCCACTGACTTTCAAAGGAAAGTCATACAGGTTTGGAATGACATAAGGGTGAATAAATAATGACAAGTTTAATTTTCTGGGTGTACTAACCCTTTAAAGAGCATTCGTTGAGGTAATAAATAACACTGTGACTTTTAGCCCCCAAACAGAAAGTGGGTTAGGAAATGCATTACAGAATTTGTAAGATAAAGGAGAAGTAGCGAAATAATTATTTCAAAACCTGGGACTTGTCTCAGAATGAGAAATGGAGTGAGACAGCATCTATCTCCAGTCGGGTGGGTGCTGGTCCTCATCAGACGCCTGCACATTGGCATGTGCCATAGGAGCTCACTGTGCAGCTTGCTGGAATTTGTCTCCATAAATAAAAGATTATGTCTCTAATCTGTAATAACTCTCTCTTCATATTTATTTCTATCACTCCCTCTCTCGCTTCAGCAAAATGTCCCAGGTCTCCTTGCTGTCACCGAGATAGATATCAGACACATACTTGCTACTTTTCCGAGAGGGCCACCACTTTTTTATTTCAGTCAGTAAAAACACCACTGATCCAACCCCCCAAGGATGTAGTGAACTGCTTTCCTGTGGAGAAAGAGAGCAAAAGACAACTCTTCCAAGACTTTGAAATGACAGGACTCAAAGCATGAATGGTGAGCTTTAAAACAGAGCATTTTCTTTTACTAATGTACTATTCGCTGTCTTGCTCAGGCACCCTGTTGTTTAAAACGATTCCTTTTCCTGTAGAACATGTTTCCCATATCTTGTGGCATATCCAGTAATCATCAACGACTAGAAATGTATAATTATATTGATTTTTGGAATGGAAAATTCAAATGGCAAATGATCAGACACTGTGCTATTTTACCTCATTCACTCTATGTGACAATTTCTACGGCCTTATCTAAACGTTGATCGTTCACACAGAAATTCTTCAGATCTCTGCACTGAATCTTAACTTGTCTGTCTGTCACACTTTCCACTCACTCTCTCAATTACTCATTTAACACACAGCCAAACACAGTCACTTCAATATATCGCCACTCTGTTACTGACAGCTAGTCAGACGCAAATGAATTTCATTCTGAACCAGTGTCTCTCTCAAGGTTCCTCTGCTACTGTCAATCATCTCATCCACACTGCCTCCATTTTGTGTCATATCTGAGGAATCCTGTCTAAGCATGAGCTTTCACTGATGATACTGTGAATCTCTGATCATTCTAAATGGAGCAGAAATTGAGCGGAAGGTGCAGTTCATCCTTAACATGACACCGTTATCATTACCCCTTTTGCTGTCCTGTTAATGTTATCAATTGGCAAGTGGTAGAGCCAGCGCACAGTGCTCGAATGACAGATAAAATTATGCTACTTTCTGTGGTTGCACTATTAATTATTTACAGTGCCTACAGAAAAAGTGTGTTTCTGAGCTTAAAGTTGTAGAATATTACATGTATAATTTAAGACAGTGTCCTACATGTAGGGTGGGGAGATCATATGGGCCAGTAAGAGGGTCTTGCGGTGCTCATCGTAGGCAAACTATTCACCCGTCAACATAAGAAAGCAGCAGAGTAGGTGGACAGGCCTACTTTGTGTTAATGTAGTGAGACAGTGGGATCTAGTTTTATGGTTTTATAATACGGTATTACTGTTAGGCTGATGATCCCCAAAGTATTCCACTAAAGAAATCGGACAAGGTCAGTTAAGGAGAGCTCATGCCACAGAGAACATTTTTGCAGTCATTGGCACGGAATCTGTGCGCACAGATTTCAGAAGCTCAAAACCAGATACATTTATTAGAAAAGCAAAACTGCTTAGGACCCTAATATGTTTTAGAGACTGCATCTCGAATGGAGTTTTTTTTTTCTTACCCCAATGGCAGACTTTTTTCTAAATTTAAGCCTGTATCATCATATAAATTATGTTGTAAGAAAATGTTTATATGTTTATAGATATTATTATTATTATTATAAGAATGTTGAATATTAAAGATCAGATTGTATCTGTAATAATAGGATAATTACAGCTATAGTGGTGCACTTGCAAAAAAGGCATTATTAAAGGCTAAGCCGTGAAGAACCACATTTTACTAACTAACTAACTAAAATAAATAAATAAAAATATATATTTTTAAATAAAATAACATTTTTTGTGGTGCCAATTAAAAAAAATGACAATGCAAAAAATGATTTAAACATTTTTATTAATGTGATTATGCTTTTAACAATAAGGGTCGGGTCCTCCAAAAAAATAAAATATACAAAAAAGTATATATAAAAAAAAATGAAATCAAATATCTGAGATTTATTTGATGTTGTTTTATTTTATATATGTTTTTTATTTAAAAAAATATGAATTGTAAATTAAATCAAATCAAATAATCTGAGCCTCCTTGTTTATTTCTATCTCCCTCTGTGTAAGGAATCAGCATTTGATTCAGGTAATTCAAATCAAGTTTATTTGTATAGCGCTTTTAACGATACAAATCGTTGCAAAGCAACTTTACAGCAAATTAAGTTTCTACGATATTTAGTGGTAGCTTATCAGTGGTGACTGTCAGTTAATATGGCAGAAATGTATGGAAAAATCAATTAAAGATGTAATCAAACAGACGATGAACACTATTAACAGCAATTATTATATCATGCAATCAAACTTTGCAAAATTTGGTAGTTCTGTATGTTGTTTCATGGTTGGCATCCTCTGATGGTAAATAATAAACAATTGTTTGGTTTGGAGCAGACACTTCCAATTTAAAACCTAACTGACATTTTAAAATGATGTACATTAAATCGTACATTATGCATATTAGATCTCATCACCACAGCAGTCATTTATGATTCTGACTCACGTCTACAGTATGTGCGGAGTCAGAAGCTCAGTGGGAAACCATCAGTAACATTTGACAGGTGGCTGAAATGGGAGAGCGGCAGCACTAGGACTGACTTGTTCACCCCTGCAGATGCCAGTCAGATCTGATCGGGAAGACGATGCATATGGCCTCTAACAGTCCGCATCCGTGCTGACCGCTCCCTCGAACGTACTCAGACAGTCACCATGGGAGCGCTGACCGCACAGCCGTGCAAATCGCTCGCTCCATTTCCACCATTCATCAACCTCAGTATGACATCAAAATGTGTGTGTGTTTGTGGGGGCATGTGTGACCCCTCTTTAATCTGCCATCTGAGCTGAGAGAGTGTTGGCTGGATGCTGTCACGGTGTGTGAAGCCATGTCCTGAGGTGCAGTGTCCTTGTGACAGATTTGCCTCGATAACCACAAGAGGATAAGGAGAAAGCAAAAGAGAAAAAGTGAGGGAGAGAGAACTAAATGGAGAGCACATGGAGCACATTAGCCACCAACCAGCATTTTGGAGGAGAGACAGAATGGGAGAGAGCGAGGGTAAGCAAAAAGAGATTGCCCTAAGCAGCCTAAATGAGTTCAGGCATAAGGGATCATGTCATGGCTGTAGGATCGTTCCCTCAGGGCGATGAGAAAGACTTCCCACACTGCAGTTGCACCGTTCAGACAGCTCTGATACTCACACAGCCTTTATTCTTGTTTAGTCAAACTAGAGTGGGAGAATCTAAATCTGTACTTTGACAGATTTAGTCAAACTACATCTGTCAAACTAATGTGGGAGAGCAAATCATGTATAGCAGGCATTGAGGTATTCTAAATAAGAATGGTTACACCACTGCTTCATTGAAAAAGAGGAAATCTACACGACTCAAAATGGAGCTGGCAAGAAAACATCCTAAAACAAAGCCTAGCCAATTTCACGGCGCTATTCTACCAAATTCAGGGATGAAATTGAATTATTATGAAATTGTTTATGACATCCAGTGCACTCACAAAGGACAAGGCTCTGCGGCTCCTCAAAACAAGCCCAGGAACAGTGGAAAGTGCTGTGCATGAGGAATCAGACCTGTGACACTAAAACTGATCCCAGTCAAAGTGCTGAGTGTCACAAGTCTCGTAGACAATCACACGTGAATCAATATCTCATAATAGACTCGGGGTGTGTGATGCACTCTTTTATCCCTTAGGTAGCGCTGAAAGGGGACAATGCAGACCAGCCACAAACACACACAAACATACACAGCAAATGACTGAAATGGATATGCAGAGGAGTTATTTTATGGGCCACTGCAGAAGAAAAGCCTTGCTAATAGTGCAAATCACCTTCTTTAAAGTTTGAATTAATTCCAAGAGCTTTTTAATTTGTGGACATGACGCTTTGAATGAATTATTACGGCTAGACCAATACAAGCCAACAGACCATCTTTATTTAACTTCATTGGTCTGATATTACAGTCACTCCTCAGTCATTCTTGTTTATTTGATAAGGATTTTTTTTTTTACAAATGTTATAACTAGATCAGACCTGTACATCACCTTGCAGTTGCTGACAAATTAATGTCCCTGTATGGTTTTTGCCTTATATTGTCTTATATTTCCATTTTGTCTCATGTATTTTGTTTTATGTACAATAATAGTTTAGCATTTAAACAAAAAACAATTAATCTCACAGCATTATTTATGCTATTCTAATTGTAGCGTAAATGCATTCATGCCACCTCTGAACAGTCTATGTAAATAATAAGTGCCAATTCAGACGCAGCTTCTGAAAACAATGCTATGGCCTCATTGTAGCCTTAGAAGTTCATGCGTAATAAATTATGTCTTGAATAGAGATTATTTTTTGTAATGTCTAATCACTGATTTTCTAATTTAACACAATAATGACTGATCTTTTGGGGGGTAATTTCTCAGACCAAATTGATGTGCTATTAATTGATAAATATTAATTTGATTAAAATTAATCCCTTGAGAGCCCTAATATATTTACTTCCATGTCTTCTTGATTTGAATGTACAGTATTACTATACTACGAAGGTGGAGAGTTAGCTAAACATCTTCCTACAGCGTTCTTTCGTGTTGGCAGGGATATTTCAATAAGCTTTAAGCTGCAACAGTAATAAGCAGGATTCACAGTGGGGTTGTGTTCCTTTATGCTGGGCTGTATTTTTGGGCTGAGAGAAAACATTATCCCTGAACTCTGATTGGCTGAGCTTCAACAGAATGGTTTGTTGAGGGTTATGGTCCTCATTTGTCATGCCGGTCAGCTCTATTTAAAGTCACAATGTGGTATTAGGCTGAAAAGCCTGAACACCATCAAGTGACCAAGGCAACCCGCCAAAGCAACTTGATATTTGTTTGTCCACAGATATTAAAGGGTTTGAAGTAGGCCTGCAAAAGCACAGGATACCGTGAGACAAAAGAGAAGAAATAAAAGGGAAGCAGGAGAAACAAAAAAGCAATGGGCAAACCAAATGACATCATACATAATTAACACAACGCTGAAAATAATATTAAAAATATATATCCAAATTCTTAACACAAGATGAAATTACTTGACAAGCAAATTATGACAGATAACTTGTTTTCAGAGTGTGCATAATATTAGTATTATAAACTGATTAAAATGGTGAGCACAGAAAAGAGTAAGTAATGTTGAAATATGAAGCATGCACACAAAAAATAGCATTAGTCTGTGTCAGAAAGCATCAAGGCTTAATGCAGCTATTTGTTAATTGAATTCAATGTCATAAACAAGTATCTCTATCTACGTAGAATCAATGAAAGATCTATTTCCAAACAGTGCTTATAATGATCCTCTATATGACTGATTTAGATGCCCAAACCCTTTGACAGAAACTAAACCTGTGGTAATGAAGACAAAGCTTCCTCCTTTAACATTTGCCTCCAGCATAGCTGATGAACAGCTTATTGTTTTCTTATAAACATCCCATGCATCTTTTATTGTCAACGATTTAAGCTTTTCTCCTGTGAGGCGTATTTGTTACCCCCAGAAAGGTGGCGGATTTAAGATTCAAGATTGCACTATTTGGTGCATAACTAAATGGAAAATACAGAAATGATTTGCATTTGAACCAGAGTTCAACACTTCACAAATAGGCATTCAGGAGTTTATAATCATTACTGGTATTTTCTAAAAGTCATCCCTCATGCAAAAATGTCATCTGTCAACATTTTTTATGTTAATTTCAACCTAAAACTAAACAGATAAAACATTTTGAACATAAAGTGGTCAAATGACTGTTAATGGCCTTCATTTCCATAAAATCTAGACTGAATCATTGGGAGAAATAGGTTGCTTACATTACAAGCTAGAAAAAAAAGAAGACAATTAAAAACAATTGATGTATGGCACTGCAACTATACAGCAGTTTAAACTTTACCTGCATACTGGTTTAATAAGTTAAACAATTTAAATGAAGGATTCAGGGTTCATTAACATCAAAATGGAATGACCAACTTGAACAGTTCACCCAAAAATTCTGTCATAATTTACTCAAATTACAGTCATACAGGTTTGAAATGGCATAAGGACATGGCAAAAGATGAGTGTCTACTTTCATCATAGGCTCACTGGAAATACGTACCTTACCTACAGAAGTCCAAACACATTCACTGCAGTTTCCAGCTGAAATGAACACTATAGAAGTAAAATTGCAACTACTTTCATTCCTTTTCACACAAATTATGATTGCTCAGGCAATATTTCTCAGGCACATTTTCCAGTGTGCCTGGGTTGATTACTTTAACTGTGTGGACCAAAGGCAAAACAAAAGACTTTAAATTATCTTCTATCTTCTAATTATCTTAAGTCATACAGGAACGACATGAGTGTAAGCAAATAATTTTTTAGTGAATTATCTCTTAAGTATTATATTATAATATTATATAATTTAATTAATAATAATAATTTATGCATTTAGCAGACGCTTTTATCCAAAGCGACTTACAGTGCATTCAGGCTATACATGTTTTACCAGTATGTGTGTTTCCTGGGAATTGAACCCACAACCTTTTGCGCTGCTAACACAATGTTCTACCACTGAGCCACAGGAACATATTATATAATTATATTATCATATAATTATATAAAATTATTATATTACACTATGAAGAAAATAATGTAAATTATATATGTAACATTTCCCCCTACAGAGATTCCAATTCTGGCATGTTCCACACATTGATATGCTCAATCCAGTCACCACTATCTGCTTTCTTCGTTCTCTCCTCCACCTCTATTTATAAAACGCTGCACATTTTTCATCCCTTTCCCTAATAATTTTTCAGCACACCCTTGTCAATTATTCACATGCTCTTCTACATATTGAACATGTTTGTCTTTCTAAGCATTAATATTTAAGGTTTCAACCCTCCTCTAGGTGATCTTAAAAAGATAAATCAAAGTGGCGTTTTTTTTAAATAGTCTCATAGTGAAATTAAGCACGAATGGCACTGGAAGGCAGCGCTTTTATGGCTTTCTATTAAAACAGGAAATAGACAGACGAGGCAAATAAATCACCATCTTACAACATTCTGAATGATTTTAGGTCATTTAACACTGGCAATGATTTAATGTCAGAATCATCAAATGATTCCAATCTCAATTGTTTTTCAAGAGCAAACAGCGGTACAGTGCAGTAAATGCCCCATACAGTGTGGTACTGTAGATGACACAAACTAATCCTCCCAATCAGTCTGATGTTACAAAACAAAGGAAGAATCAATGGTCATTAAATGGCAGTCAGCTGGAACCAGGAATCGTGTCAGTCAGTTTCAACCAAAGCTGTTTTCACTTAATGCTACAATTGATTCTGCAACTTCATAATCGATCACATTGAGATATGGCTTTTATACGATCAGTTCATCGCAAGGTGCCCCCAGCAACAAATGCAAATTTGCATTCAACTCTAATTAGCTTTGCTCTTATATGAGCTGCAGTACTAACAGATCCATAGCAGCAGCATTGGACCTTCCACTTCATCAACCAAACATAACTAACAGAAGTACAAAAGGGAAAACACAAAATTACCGGCCACTCAATTCACCATAGCCAATCTTGTAGAATAATATTCTATGAAAACAAAATGGCCTCTTTACCTGGAAAGTTTTCAAAGAAAGATCTGTTTCTAGCTATAATATCAAATATGGTTAACAGTAATGGGTTTTAAGTCGAGCCACAGCTGTGAGCTCTCAAATGCATTTGGATCACAAATGGTTTAGTTATCTTTTTCTCTGTGCTATTGATAAAGGTAGGCAATTGTTGCTTGGAGACATAAAGGATTAAGATATCCTCTGGCAGACAATTGCAATGGTAATGAATTATTGTACAACCAAAGTATACGATAAGGACTTGTTCAAAGCCTTACGACTTATGAAATTCACTGGTTATTTTTTATTACTGCAAGTTGAGGTAGGTCTACATTACTATAAACAGAGACTCTTTGTGCTTGTAAAAAGGGTCAACAGTAAGGATTTTTTAAGCAACATTTTTATATTTGCAAGAAAAATTCAATTTCTCCATTAATTATTATTTGCTTTTGACATTTTTTGTTATTTAGAAAAATATATATATTCCAGCTTTTTCACAAAATATAATAATGCAAACAATTTATAATACTGCACAACTACTTCAATTTATAAAAGTTGCAAAAGTGTTTCAATGCAGTTTTCTTTCTGACTGATGCTTCCAAGACTACTATCACTTCTTACAATTTTGACAAAACCTATCTATGTTGTTTCCCATTTTCACCCATGTTGTTTGTGGGCCACCCTTGTTGAGCCCTGAAAATGGACACTAATTGTGACAAAATTATGCTTTCCTAATTTGAAAACATAAAAAATCTGGTAACAATTTTATTGTAAAATCCCTGTAATTTTAAACTTCTTATAAAACCAACACATGAAAATACAGAGCAGGTTTCCAAAATCATTACAAGGTAAGTTTCCTAAAGACTAACAGTAAATGTAACAGTAGCAGCTTCCATGAATGAAGGTAACTTAATCTGGATTAAACAAAACATGGAGAGTGATGTAATCTCATAGAGTGGTGAGGCATAACAACCTCTTACTACCCGACACTATGATCCAACATTACCATCTGAATTCAAAGAAAGGGTTCTTCAAAATATTACAATATTCACAGCGCTAGAACAAAAACTCTACTACAAAGAGTTACTGTAATCCTTATGACAAGTATTCAGACATAACGCTAAACTTCCTAAATGTCACTGTGGACAGGCTGTCCACTGTATGCAAATTAATGTGATCATTAAATTGTGAACACATCTCTATCCGGGCATTCTGAGTAAAGGATTACAGTAAAGGCACTATAATCCCACAGCAGAATCACATATGGACAGCATACCTTGGCGTCAGGTAATACTATGAGCAGGTGCGAGCTATCAGGCATGATGACGCATTAATCAATTTATGCGTGCACAGACAATTAAAATGCCATTGATGTTACACTGGGGTGTACCATTAGCACATGCAATACCATTTTCTTATTTACAGTAGTTTTTAAATGAACAGCAAAATGTGTAGTATCTGTCAATTACATAAATCTATGCAAAGTATGACACCATTATTAGACACATCTTCTGATGTTCACTAACTGACATCCTGATACATAAGCTTTTTCATGTGCTGCAGTCAGTGAGAAAAATACAAAATAAGAAAAAGTAAAGCTGTTTTACACTATTACACCTATGAAATTCTCTTTATATTTATTGATTCACTCTATCATATTTTGAAACACAGGGAGTGGTCAGAGTCACTGTTTGTTATTAGTGCATCTGCCGCTCCCTAGCGACATGATAGACGGGACTGCACACAGTCCGTCATGTTTCGCATCTGGAATGTCATTAACACAGTATACACATTCTAAGAGTACCATGCAAAACTGCAATCAACAACAACAAAAAAAACCCTGATCACCAACAGTCCCCATCAGAAGCAGCACTGCACATCTCTTGCCAAAGCAAAAACCATCAAGAAACGATCAGAAAGTATCAAACTTACGTGTCTTGCGGCTGACGTGGGTTCGACCAGGCGTGGTCACGTGACTCTCAGTGGATGACTGCTCTCTGGTCCACATTTGGGTGGAGTCGTTTAGAATGGCAGGGTTGGAGGGAGAGGGGCTGGAGGTGGACGTATGGACAGTAGACGTTGTGGTAGAAGCCACGGTGGTCGTAAAGGTGGGATTACGTGTGACAAAGCGTGTAGAGGGGCTCTTCTGCGTCACCTGGCTGCCGGATGCACCACCACCCCTAGGGGGAACGTTCGGAGGAGTTCCCGTGCGAGTCCTGCTCCGCACCACAGTGGTGACAATGGGGCTGGCTGAGCTGACCCCTCCAATAGTGGTTGTGGTGGTGGTGGTGTCAGATCCCTTAGGAAAAGTGCTAGGCTTGGACAGAAAGATGGGGTCCTGGCCAATTCCCTTGGCATCCACCAAGTCAGTAGGCACGTAGTCCCGCACAGAACCCACTACGATCCATTTCAGCAGCATCAGACTGAGCCCTAGGCCTATGAAGCCAATGAGAAGCGGAACCACGCAGAGCCAAGTCTGTTGGCGGGGCCAAAGGGCACAGCTCCCACACCTTAAAATGCCACCACGAGCAGGGGCCTGGGCTTGTTCACGTCCACCGGAGCCACCTCTTCCATCGGGCTCCTCCAGTACCATAGCCCCCGAGTTGTTCACTGTTCCAGAGCTGTCACTCATCTCGCCTGTGGCACGGTAAGGGTTAACCCCACGGCCGGGCACTCGGCAGACATGGACTGCACAAGGCGAAACGCTGGCCAGCAAAGCCAGACATTGGAAAAAAAATGGGAAAGTAAATCACAACCTAAAGAACACAGAAATAGTTATGAACACATCAAGGCAGACAAATCACATCCACACATAACTAATACACATACACACACTCACAAACAGACAAGCGCATACACCCAATAGAATTCCGGAGGTAGAAATCTCAGCGGTTGCAGAATCCGGTAAAAAGGACAGTCCTTTAGTCCAGTTCCACCAATACATCCAGATGACTTCCAGCTCGTTGTAAGATCACTAAAATGGTACAAATGTTAAATAAAGGTGCTGAGCAAAGAAGGTGGAAGGAAAGGGAGGAGTGCAATCATCTGCATGTTGACTCCAAGCACCAGCCGTTGCAGCAGCACTCTCTGTCGTCAGATTATCAAATCCCCCTTTTTGCAGATGACACCACCATTAGATTTATCCTCCGACCTCGTTCCTCCATTCATTGCAATATTTGAAGGTTGAGTTCAGTAAAAGTTAAAAACTGGCTCATATTTTTCCTCTCTGGCTCCCTCATTCTTACCAATTCATTTTCAAGGTCTTGATCTGACTCACAGTCTTGCATTCGAGCGCTGAGTCAGCTATACATATCCCAGAAAGCTGGTTCCCTCACGAAGGAGGACTTGGCGTTGACCGTGAAGCAATATGTCCCTTTTTCCTCGAGCAAAGCTCCTGCTGATTTATAGCATCCTTAAGGGAGCAAGGGACCTGCAGCACGGATCCCGGTATGTGCAAGCTGAGCAATAAACCCGGCAGAGGAGGCAATGGCAGGTGCAGAGTTGTCCAGAAAGAGACGGTGGATGGACAAATCCATTAGCAGTACAAATCCATTCTGAACAGCATCTGATGAGCGACCCACCACCGTAGAGCGAGCCGTTGATATCGTGCAGAGCAGCGGGTGTACGCTCAGCCTCTATCTACATTCCTCCACTGAGAGAGCGCAAGAGAGAATGAGAGAGAGAGAGGAAGGGAGAGGAGCGGAGCGGAGGGATGGAGGGGAGGGAGGAAGGGAAGAGTGAGCTTGTCGAAGACGGAGAGAAAGAGAAAATGAGGAGGGTTAAAAAAAGAGAGAGACAGCGTGCAGGTTTTCCATGAGACAACATTCATCCATTCCTCATTACTGTTGTGTTTGTTTTGCCTGTCTGTTGCTCTATCCTAGGGCTGCCATTTCTAAAGCGTCCGGACTAGCGTGTGTTCCCACTCTAATCTCCTGTGGGATTTTACCGCTGCTCAAGCCTACGACACTGCAGCCAGACACATACACAGACAGTCTTCTACTCTCCCCTACTGCTGATGCCAGGAAAGAGAGAGACAGACAGAGAAAAAGAGAGAGAGGAGGCACTGCACCTGCTCTCTTCACAAGAACATTCCCCACCCCTTTAGAGAGAGACAGAGAGAGAAAGAGAGAGAGGGAGGGAGGGAGGGAGAAACAAGGAGAGATAAGTACAAGTTGAGAAAGCATTCACAGCAGGATGAGATAGAAAACGAAAGAAGCAGAGGGCAAGAGAGAGAAAGACAAGATACGGGAAAGAAATAAAGAGATCCGTGTCAGTGCTCTGTGGTATTAGCAGAAAAAGAGATTACTGACTGCTGTAAACAAAGTGAGTCTAAGCATCTCTCTTTCAGGACTGTCAATCATGCAACCAGCCCCTCCTCACGTCTAAGACTCTAAGAAGGGAAGGAAGCTTAATGGATGGCACAAATTAGAAGTCGTGTGCAGTGTCTAATGGGTGGTATTTTTAAATAGACTGTTGTGCAACACAAAAGGGTTGTAATTAAAGGGAGTGGATAACACTTTAATACTCAAAGACAACAGAGATGCTAGTTTGTTTCCTGTTGGTTCTAACTTGTTTTAAAGGTGTACTCAATAATTTATTGTTTATGTTGTGCTGGATGATATGGCAGCCCACTTGGATTAATACTGACACCTAGAGGCACAGAAGTTTCACAGATGAAGCACCGATGCCACTGTACAAACAAGCCATTTCCCATGAGCCACGCTTAATTCCACAACTGAAAGTCTCAATTAACATGCAAGTTACTGAAATTGGTCAACAACAACTTGAGTGAGAAGCAATTTCATTTCCAAGATGGTACTCCCAGAACATAGGAAAAAAATGCTATTAAATGTGTTATTATTATTATTATTATACAGATTTTAGAGTCAAATAAAAAGTAAAATATATGGCAATTCTGACAGCGTATTTCTAAACCTATTTCTAAGGCATCATGAAATATAATTTATAATTAGAAACTAACATATGTCATCTTGGATTCTTTTTCAGCAAAAAAAAAAGATTTATATTTATAGTTTTTCTGTTTTGCCATAACTGGCATAAGAAAACAAACTTGTCTTAAAAGAGTTATAGTGCAATTTTGCTTTGTATACACAATGACTCTGACTTCACTAGTTAACATTTACAACATTGTGTGTATGCTGTGAAAATAAATATAGGTCAAAAGCTAAAAGTAAGCACTATTTTATTAGGAGTTCGCAGTTTATGATATAAAAACTGCAATGTAAACATCGTCATAATTCATCAACGGTAGATCAAAAGCAATCGCTTGACGTAAATGTGGCCTATTCATTGATTGAGCATCAACTGCTCTGAAAGCATGAGCATGTAGAACATCCAACAGCGGCCCATTTTTACTTTGAAACATGAAGTACTCACATTTATTTAAATCACTGCCTAAAGTAATCACATTAAACCATATCGCAATTCCTGTTTTTCGCTACCATATTTAAGACCTCTTGAAATGATAAAGACTTTTCATTTGAGATATTTAAGACTTTTTATTACCTTAAAATTAAGTAACATTTTTAAGGATCCATGGAGAATCAGTTTTTAATAAGCCGAAATCACTGAGGGCACCTTAAGAGCATATGAGTGAACTGTTCCAACACAGATGACCTAAATCTAGTATTTTGTAGTACAGAATAACAGGAGTAAATCCAATCCATTTGAGACAGAAAAAAAAGTCCTTCAGCAGGTAATCCCAAAAACGCATTACAAGTTAAAGGTGCCAAAACAAATAAAATCATGTTGTTCTGAGCCCCATATTATTTTCTTTCCTGTGTTAAACACAAAATATGTTAGGCAGACAAAGTGACACATCATTTTTGATTATACATTATATTCAGAAATCTTGGAATAACCACCTTACTTTGCAAGGCGGAAGTAATCTATTTTCTGTGAACAAGTGGAACATATGAATTATTAGCCACATTAGGTAAATAACTATAATAATAACAAATAAATTCAAATTAGGATAATAAATTGGAATAATATGGAAAGAAACACGAGTATGCAGCATCTAGGACCATAATGGGCTGTTTTTGTACTGCTAATATGACTAGAAGCAGGTGACACTAGAAGCCTTGCACATTCAAGTTACAAATGACACAATGAACAACATGGTTCTGAGTAAATTACATATAGAAAGATAGAACATAAAAAGACCATTTGTCCATTTAGTGTCAGCTGAACTATACATTTGGACATGTAACTATATTTAAATGACCCTTTTTTGTAGTGTGAAATGATGTGCCCTTGATATTTAACTTTTTTCACCACTGCCATAAATCCATAGTATCAGTAGCTACTTCAAGGAGATCTCTGCACATGAATCAGTTACTCTAGGTACAAGTACAACATGACAGTCTGCCTTTCAAAACCCCCCAGAATGAAACATCACCCCTTTCTGTTAGCTGGTTCCTTTTCTAGCTACCCATGTTTTACTTTCTGTGAAAAAACTGTCACTTTAGATAATGACTGTGAAAACGAAATCTAATTAAAGGGACATTCTAAACTAATTTCAAGTTTTAACAAAATATTTGGCCCAGGTCACCTTTAGAATGGCTGGTGAGGGCCGATTAACACAAAATTCCTTGTTGTTATGTCTTATTAGTGGTCGACCGATATATCGCCAAGGCCGATATATCGGCCGATATTTGGCATTTTTCAAATATCGGCATCGGCCGATAAGTTTTTCCTGTTTGGCCGATGCTTTCGAGGCGGGACTTTTATTTTGATGGCGCTGAGAATGGCAGCGTGTGAGCACACAGTGTGCATGTGTATCCTGCATGATCGTGTGTTCTCTGCGTGACGGTCGGTCTGTGCGAATTGAATGCGGACAGGAGGAGAGTTCAACCTCACTGGAGATGCGTGATCGACAAAATTTAAATTTGTGATTTCAAATGATGCTGCGCTTTATCCATTTGCCCACTGTCATATTCATGTCATTTTCACTGTGTTGAGCACGGCCATATTCTATGGCAAGGTAAAGAAGAGAAGGGCAGAACTTGCTCTTCCTGCACATGAAAAAGTGCAGGAAGGGGGGGTTTTGGTTTTATGTCAATGTTTTATGATACATGATATACAGTATTATATTTGTTTTAACGTTTTGAATCCTTGAATACGCATTTATATCATTTAAACAAATCTTTGAATGTCTAATAAACATCTAATTTCAAAAACCTTGCAAACTTAAGTCGGATCCAGTTGTGAGATATTGTGAAGGGTGCATTTGTATCCTGCATGATCGTGTGTTCTCTGCGTGACGGTCGGTCTGTGCGAATTGAATGCGGACAGGAGGAGAGTTCAACCTCACTGGAGATGCGTGATCGACAAAATTTAAATTTGTGATTTCAAATGATGCTGCGCTTTATCCATTTGCCCACTGTCATATTCATGTCATTTTCACTGTGTGCTATGTGTAAAATGACTGTTACCTTGGCTTTATTTCAAAAAATATGATTCCCAATGCACACAAACTTCCCAGATTACTTAGTGCCCTGTAGGTTACAATGTTGACTTTTTATTAAATATTTATTTATTTGTGAAAAATACATTGTCATCTAAAGTATAAGTATGTTTATTTAACACATTTACATTAATTAAAATAAATAAAATTATATCGGCTTTATATCGGTCATCGGCCACCCTGCTTTCCAAGATATCGGCATTGGCTGTCAAAAAAACATTATCGGTCGACCACTATATTTTATATTTCTCATCTTCCAGCCAGCTGTCAATGAAACTGTAACCTGGCATGTTGATGGAGACAAGTCGATGCAGAAACAATTTCTTGGGACACCAATCAACCTGGATGGTATGAGCTGGGCAGTCAGGGTTCAAAACTAACATGTTGCCACCGCAGCTGGATTGAGATAAATATCTCATACTAGCAATGAAACTGAATTTTGCATTATTTTTATATTAAAAATACTAGGGATGCATCGATCCAATACTCAGTATCGGTATCGGCTCTGATATTGCCATTTTCTGCCGGATCGGATATCGGTCAGACGAGACCGATCCAAATCCGATATTGTGCGTATACTATTCTTGTTATTGTTATTTGTTAATTGTTATTGTTAAGCCCCACGAAAGGCACAAAAACATTATAAAGCACCATAAATTTCCGTGCACTATATTTTAAGTGTTTTGAAGCCGTTTCATAGTTTAATGTGAAGTATAGCTGAATAATGATGAATATTTAAAGGGGTCCTATTATGCTCTTTTACAAAGTCTTGATTTTGTTTTGGGGGTGTACTAGAACATGCTGTCATGCTTGGTGTTTCGAAAAACACATTATTTTTCACATAATTTACATTATTAAAATACCTTTCTCCCCAGCCTGGCACAAATGGCTCGATTAGTTCCGGGTTTGATGAATCCATTTGCCCACTGTCATATTCATGTCATTTTCACTGTGTGCTATGTGTAAAATGACTGTTACCTTGGCTTTATTTCAAAAAATATGATTCCCAATGCACACAAACTTCCCAGATTACTTAGTGCCCTGTAGGTTACAATGTTGACTTTTTATTAAATATTTATTTATTTGTGAAAAATACATTGTCATCTAAAGTATAAGTATGTTTATTTAACACATTTACGGTCCTATTATGCTCTTTTACAAAGTCTTGATTTTGTTTTGGGGGTGTACTAGAACATGCTGTCATGCTTGGTGTTTCGAAAAACACATTATTTTTCACATAATTTACATTATTAAAATACCTTTCTCCCCAGCCTGGCACAAATGGCTCGATTAGTTCCGGGTTTGATGAAGGCCCGCCTTCCGAAAAACGAAATGTGTTGTGATTGGTTAGCTCTCCCAGTGAATTGTGATTGGCAATTAGCTTAGACGGTGTTTCAGTACTGAATTTTGCATTATTTAAAATTATTTAGCAAAATAATGCAAATTTCCCTTGCCAAAGCAGCAAGTTCAGTC